TGCAACAGTGAAACAAAACAAAAAACCGGATCTGAGGAATGTCAAGTAGTCCCTGGGATGAGACCAGAGAAGGGTCATCTCACCCTAGAGGTTAAAATAGCCAATGAAATATGTGACCATGTACAGGACAAGCTGTACCCCCCATTTCTGTAACTTGCTCTAAATGGTAGATAAAGAAAGCCCTCTTTATTTTCGGGGCTCAGCCTTTGGACTCGAGTCCGCTGAGTTGCTGCTGGCCTGCGTAATAAACTTACTTCCTGAAAGCTTTGGTGCCCCGTCTCTTTGTCTGAGCTGTCCTACAGCAAAACCCCAGAGGGAGTGGTTTTCCAAAGATAACATCAACAAAGAGATGGTTGCTCTTGTGGCTGGTGGGGCCATCATCAGCATGCTATTTCGTGTCACCATGTTGAAGATGCTATTTGATTATAAAAGGAAGTCAATTCTTTTCCAGTCCTGGAGGAGCAACAACACTGTATTGGTTGTTTTTCCTTAGGGCATAAATATCTACTGTGGCCCAGAGGTACTCTGACTTTGAAATGCTGTAGTCTGTCTGTAACATTCATCCTGACTTCTGTCCACCCATCCATATACCTGCTCACTCACAGCCAGCAGTCACAGGGATCAGGGCAAAGAAGAAAATGGGATGTAACTGAAATGGAAGCATATTTGTGAGAGTATAAGCAAGGGTTTTAAGGATCTACACACATGCAGAAAGGACAAAAGCCACAGCATCTCCCATGTTTTAAGTGCTTCTTAAACTTCAGAGACTTACAAATGCCATGGTTTCTGCCTCCTCTGAGGATCATTACTAACTATAGGACCACTGCTTATTTAATGTCCTCCCTTAAATCCTCTTACTGAAAACACCTACATTGGTCATCCTAAATTTTACTATCCATAAAATCATGGTTTTGATGTGTTATATTTTTCTAAGATGTTAAAATTGTTTAGCTACATAATTGCCATGTGTTTCTCTCTCTCTCTGTGTGTGTGTGTGTGTGTGTGTGTGTGTGTGTGTAAGATGGCACTTAGGTTTCAATTCAGGGATTTACTCTTGCCAGGCAAGTGCTCTACCACTTAAGCCGTGCTGCCAGACCTTTTTTTTTTAGTTATTTTTCAAATAGTCTCATATTTTTGCCCAGGGCCAGACTCAGACTGTAATCCTTTTACCTATGCCTCCACCATAGCTGGGATTACAGTATTGAACCACCACAACTAGCTTGTTTGTTGAGGCAGGGTCTTGCTAACTTTTTGGTTGGGTTGGCCTCGAATCATGATCCTCCTGATATCTGCCTCCCAAGTAACTGGGATTATAGATGTGTACCACCATGCCTGGTCTTTATCTCATTTCTTGAACAGTATGTGTAATCAGTGAAATGTATGTAAGAATCTGCCTTTCATAAAATGACTCAGGGACAAATAGATTGAGTTAAAAATACTGGCTCTGTATGTGCCTGTGTACAAAACATACACATTTCATCGAACATTCATCATTTTGCCACTTCTTTCTGTTAAGGCCTTAAGTAGTAAATCAGTGATTTAACCTGCTTTGTACAATTAACTTTCCAGAGACCAAAAGAATGAGTTTAATGACTATTTGACTGATAGAAATATAGTCAAGAATCTTGACCACTCATAGAGATCACATATCTATGAAGTCCTAGCTGAACATTTTGACACAATTATATTAGATATGCTCAAAAAATTTAGAGTGGCAAAGGTAATATGTAGAAATTGAATTTTTTTTTTTTGCGGTACTGGAGTTTGAACTCAGACCCTCACACTTGTGAGGCAGGTGCTCTACCACTTGAGCCACTCCACCAGCCCTTGAAATGAAATTTTTATAGGTAATTTTTAGGATCAATGGAGTTTTTCTCAGCACTTTATATTTTAGTCTTAAAGAAATGATACTTTTTGAGGCTGTATCCTCATTTCCCTTTGAATAAATCATCCTGATTTTCATAGTTAGCTTTGTCTAGTCTGTATTTTGATGCTATCATAGAATACTCAAGACTGGGTGATTTATAAACAAACAGAAGTTTATTTGTTCCTTGGCTCCAGAGCCTGGGAAGTCTATGAATATACTGTATACTGCCAGCATCTGAGGAGGATCTTGTTTTGCTTCACTTCATGGTACAGAGCAGCAGGGCAAGCAGGTGGATGTGGAAGAAAGAAAACATGGCACATGGCCTCACTTTATAACAACCCACTACAAAGTGAGTAATCCAGTCCTGAAAGAATGGCACTAATCCTTCTTAAGGGCCTAATCACCTCTTAATACCATTACTATGGAAATCAAATTTCATCATGAATTTTGGGAGGTGGGGGACAAACCATTTTCAAAGCTGCGGGTATACAGGCTGCTGTTTCAAATATATTTCAATTGCTTCTTTCTTCTATTTGTAAAGTATTTACTGCATCCCTACTCAGTCCACACATGGATCTGGATGCCAGGAGACAATAGATGGGAGATGAACACCAATCAACTCCTCTCCCAAAGAAACAGCCCATTGCCTGAGGAAGTGGCGTTTAAGCTCAGAGCTGTGGGGAGGAGAGAAGAGAATGACCCAGGCAAAGAAGTGTCTAGTGCAAAGGCCTCCTCTTGTGGGGCAGGGTGAGAGAATATGGCACCTTAAGAATTGAAACAATGCCTGTGTGGCTAGAGCCTTGGGACAGAGGACTGGATCTACGGTCATGGTACGGAGATTGGTCTTATCCTAATGGGAATCAAAGGGGAACCACTGAAGGGCTTGAACTCAACAAACTCAAGGCTCTGTCTGATGAAGAAGGGCGAAACAACTAGTAGGTAGGCAAGTTACTATACTTACAGAACCTCCCTAAACAGTACCCATCCGAAACAGAACTTATTTCCTCCACTTTCCACCCTCCCAAACCTGCTTCTATCTGGCTCAATTTCTCCTCACACTGAATGGCCTCACCATTCAGGAGTAGCCTAACCACCATCTAGGTGTCATCTGTGAAACTTCCCTCTTTATCCCCCACCCCATATCTAATCTATGGCCAAGTTCTGTGTACTCCACCTCTTCAATATTTCTGTAACTCATTCAGTCCTTCATTTCCACTGTGAAACTCAAGTAATTGTTGTTTGGCTGAACTCTTGTGCCCCTACCGCCTGTTTTCCATACAAAGTGATGTTTCCCATACAAGTCAGATCCTATCTCTCTCCTCTTCCTGAAGTCCAACAATCCAGGGTAAATCTGGATTAGGAAAGATATTCTTGCACATCAAGAGAGACCCCTGGAAAAAAGGGACACTTTCAATTTTGACATTGGATGTACCTGAAGGGCACATCTTGCTACCAGCCCAGAAGTATAATTCCAGAGACCAAGAAGTTCAGTGGCACCCCTGGAGCCTGCCTTATCGCCAGAGACATTGCCTTGCTATGCAAGCCAGTGGAATTGGCTTGTGCAGCGATAAAGTGCTCTGACATTGTGATTATGTGTCTGAGGTACTCAATGGCAGGTGGGCAGTTGGATACATGCCTCAGGGGAGCTAAGCAATATATATGAGTCCTTGGTGTACACTGAAGCTTGAGGAAGAGATGACATCAGGGAAAGTCTTGCGGGAGGTTGGTGACCCTACAGAAAAGATTGGGAGGAACTGGGCCAGAGAGATGCCAAGGGAGACTTATTTCTGTGGCTGGAAAAAAAAAAAAAGACATTCCTAAGTGTATCCAAGCTGGATCCAGGGAAGTGACTCAAGACTGTTTTCAGCTGAGGGAGGAAGTTGGATTTCAGAACCAACTCTTAGAATTACCATCAGGGGAGTTTGGCTCCCTGCCACCTAATAAATAAGTCATTTACCAGAATTACAGAGGCAACCAAAAATGGAACGCACAAGCTGGTCAGGGAATAAGTCTAAGGTGGGATACTGAATTAGGTAGTGTCAGGTACAAGTCAGAGCCATTGGTGCGTAGAAAGGGGCAGAATCATAGAGGGAGGGCTGCCACAGTGGGGTCAGGGATTGGAAGGATACGCCATGGGGAGGCACCAATGTAAGACAAGGCTTGGAGGCCTTAAAGCCAACGGCAGTGTTCACAGAATTTGGCTGGAAAGACAGCCATGGGTCAGGCTGTCGGACTATGGGGAGGCCAGAATAAGCTGAGCCTTAAAAGCCAGGTTAGGCTTAGCAGGGTAAGAGCAGAGTGGGAGGCTTTTCACCTGTAACAAGTCACAGGTGGTAAGGTATCAGAGCAGAGTGCGCGTGCGCACGGGCAGGGGCGAACCAGGGCTACGCGTTGCCATGGCAGAGGTTCCCAAATCTGGGTGTAGCAGAACTACCAGAACCTGTGACACGCGGAGATCCCGGATACTCACCCACCCCCATTCGGATTCCACAGGTTGGGGGCGACATGTCCGTTTTCAAAAGCTCCAGTGCCGCGCTAGTGCCGAGCTACATCTCTTAGCTCCTCCTTACGGAAGGGGTTCTTCCGACCTAAAGGCTACCCCAGCCCCTCCCGTTCCGGCCGCGGACCCGGGTGGACTCGACGTGGCGGCTCCGGCCTAGCGGGGCTGTGAGACGGTGCGCGACCTGTCGGTCCCCGGTCAGGGACCAGCCTCGCGCCTGACAGAGGAAATTAGTAGACACAGTGCCTTGATTGCTACGGCTGTCGGCCGGCCTAAGCCTCTGGTCTCCATGGTGACTGGCGGACGCCGTGGCCAATTGTGTCCCGGCGCTTGTTTGTTTCCGTTCCATCCCTCCCCAGGGGCCGACACTTCCTTGACTGACAGTCCGCCGCGAGCGCTGTTACGTAAGGGGCGGGCCAAGCGCGGCCCCACCCGAGCTGAGCTGATTTGATTGGTAGGATGGAGTGCTGTCTTCCCAACGCCCCCGGAAAACCGCCCGTGATGGACAGGTGTAGAAGCCACTTGGAGCCGGAAGGCTGGGCGGAAGCGTAGGGCCCAGGGGCTTGGGCAGGGGCGGGGCCCGACGCTGAGGGCAGGGCAGGACAGGACAGGGCAGGGCAGGGCGGGGCGGGGCGGAGCGGAGTGGAGTAGGCAGAGGCCGGGCTGCATTGCAGCCCGAGATGCTGTCGGGCCGCCGCAGCGCTCAGCAGCCGGGAGCCCTACATTGAAGGCACCTTTGTAAGGCTCGCTGCCCAGCCGGCTGGTAAGTACACAAGGGCTGAGGAGTCCATAAGCCTGGGTCTCCACCGTCCTGGAGCCCAGCGTTTGTCTGCCCTACGGACGCTCTCGACACAGCGACGGCGGCCGCGCTAGGACACGGAGGCGGGGCTGGGCACCTGTGCGCGTTTGCAGGCACCTGCTGCGCGGTGGTCGCGGAGCCCGCTGTCTGCCCTGGGGGCTGCGGCAAGAGTGGGCTGGGTCAGCCGGAGAGAGGGAGAAGGGCCCAGCGGGCTTGCCCGGCTCGGGCCCGCCCTCCCCAGCCCCAGCTCCAGCCCCAGCTCCAGCCCCCTTCCCGGCTCTCTAGCTAAGGGGGATGTCACCGAGCCCCAGAGATCCCAGCTTCCACCAGAGGCTCGTGGTCCCCCGCCAGCCTTGAGCTAGTTCGAGGCCGGGACATGGTCCCCGCCTTGCATCACCTTGGGACAGGTTTGTCCAGATTCTCTGCGTGCTCCCAGACGCGTTTCTGCCCCCGGCGAGGGTGTCCCTCCCAGCCATCTGCCGGACCCCAGGATCCCCAGGAAGCCTGGCCGGAGCTGTTTTCGTGTTTCCTGTCACCTCTCGAGGAATTTCTGAAGTCCGTTTTGGGTAGATTTATTAAGTCAGTGCCTGCCTATATTGGCACTCTGGCACTTAGGAACCGCAGCAGGTCTCGTTTGGGCTCTGGAATACACAGGCTGAACATACTGACTTCTCAGCTGTGTGATATAAATGCACACACTCATATTTTGGTTTTAGAGTCAAACCAGCAGAAATTCTAAGACTGTTTCCTAAGGACAAGGATGTAGCCTGTTTTCTTTCCATCTGTGTCCTTCCTTGCACCATGTCAAACTGTGATTGTGGTAGACTAGACATCTAATAAATGGTGTAATTAATTTCTGAGAACTGTGCTACAATTTCTTGTGATTATGTTGCTGCCAGAACTGAGTTTAAAAAAAAAAATCCATCGTAAAGCTAGCCAACAGCAGACAAGACCTCTTGCTTGAAGAGAAGTGGGGCGAGTTTCTCATTGAATTCTCAAGGGCAAAATCATAGAATTAAGGTGTAGGGCCAAAAGAGACTTTATAGGTAATTGCTTCACTCCAGCAAATTTACAAGTTGGGGAAGACCACCCCAACAGGCAGCTGCCTAGTTAAGGCAGGTATATCCTACAGGACCAAGGAGTAGTGCTGAAAGTCAAATTATTTTCATTTGGGCCAAACAGGAGTACGTCCTCACACATTTTCATGTCCCAGCTATTTGCATGTGTCATAGTCACCTTTTAAAGGCTGATTTGCAGATCTGTTGCTACTTACTGAATGTAAGTCAACAGCTTAGTGGAAGAACTAGGATCCCCGTCCTGGTTTAATTACAGGATGGCATTATCTCTTGGAAAGCAAAACAGCAGTAATAGGCACTGAATGGGTATGGTAGACCTGGTACCCACCCGTGGATGTCATAGGCCCATCAGAGAAGACAAATTACTGCTGATTAGGGACATCTGGTACATGATTTGCTAACTATTTGCTTCTTAGAAATTTAGGTAAATATTGCTAAGTTTTAACCCTTTTCACCTCCACCTTTTTGTTTGGAACAAATAGTAATTCTGAGAAGGCGCTCTACTTTAAACATAGCAAAGCCTTGTTTAATCACCAGAGCCAAGAAGTCACTGGTCTTATAGTTGGGGTTGGCTGCTTTTTCTTTGTTTCTTCGTATTTTTGTAAAACACATTGTGACCTTTGAGACATGCTTTTTTATCCAATACCTGTGGCTTCCAAGGAAGATTTGTGCTTGTGGAATGTCTCTTTTGCACTCCTCCTTGCATGTGTATGTATTGCTTGGCAGGCCTTTAAATGCCAGCAGTTTCTAAGATAGCACTCAGGTGTCCCTTCTCTGATATTGACCCAGGTGTGCTCTGCTGTCTGTTTTTTCTTATGTCTTTGGCTAATAATTTTGCTGAAACAACTAATTTAAAACACTCTTAAATCAACCACCTTGGATCTTTTATCATTTGTTCCCATGACTCTGGGAACAGTGAGAAACTTTTGTGTAGATGGGTACAGTGTATTCTGAATCTGGCTTTCCCATTAGTTAAATGCCTAGATATTTTGCCAGTAGCAACTATTGTAGTCTATATCTTCATAACTTTTGGCACTAATGTTGAACTCTACCACTAAATATTCTGAATCCTAGCCAGTGACCTAGTGCACAAATTCTTCTTCTGGGATGTAGGGTTTCACTATGTTACTGGCTGGCCTGGAATTCACTATATAGCCCACATTGGACTAGAAAAAAATATTCCTGCTTCAGCCTCCCAAGTGTTGGGAGTACAGGCATAAGCCACTATTTATCTAAAGGTGCAAGAGACATTGGAGCCTGAAGGGGGCGGGGGCATACAGAAGGAAATTATTCCTGAAGCTGCCTGAAGACTTTTCTAGACTTTTATTTATTTAATAATTTTTTTATTAGGATATATCTGTTACACGGGGGTGGGGGGGGTTTAAAGTAACAATTCCGATTAGGCTTATATTGTATATTAGTTACATCACCCCCATCATCTCTCCCCCTCAACCCCTTCCCCGCCCAACTTAAAGTAATTGCAAGAGGTTTCTTTGTTCTATTTCATATAGGTATATTAAGTCCATCAACCATATACCCTTACCTTAATCTCCTTCATTCACCTTCCCACTCCCACTAGTATTTCTAGACTTTTGTAACTATATATTATATAACATTACATTGTATCTCCAGGATACCAGGTTTAGTTTTTCACCATTCCAGAATTCTTAACTGTTGGCATTTGTATGTTTGTGTGTTCCCTTCTCATTTCAAGGTAAAGTGAGTGCTGAAGAGTTTGATGACATAGACGACTGAATTTCTTTGTTTACAGTACACGTTATGAACCCTTTGTGGAGCATGTCTACAAGCTCTGGACGCAAAGTAAGTGCTGTCAATAAATGTAGTGAAGAAACACATTGGCTTCTCTGTCAGAAAAAGGGTCAGAAAGCTAAAGTAATCTATATCAAGGTCACCTAAAATCTTAGCAAATTTATCTGTTTTGTCTAGTTTGGGTTTTACTTTTGAGAAATAGTTATTTTGTTCGTTAAAGTCAGTTACTAAGGCAGAGATTGCATGTCAATAGAAATTCTGATAATAACAATTCTCAGATTATTTTCACACATAATGTCATTTATTATACCATTGTAGTAGTTTATTAAAGTTCAAGATTCAGTCGTTAGAGACACTTTGGGAAAGTTCAGTCCAATGTGGTCAAGTCAGACTTGAGTGACATTTCTTCTAAATAAAATATCTTTTAAAAATGCATTTTCTTCTTAGGAAAGCTTAAAATGTGCAAACAGTATGAAAATAAAAATACCCATAACTGCACCTCTAAGAAAACATCACTGTGCCCATGATACACATTTTTATACAGCAAGTTAAACAGCCTTTGGTTGTACTTGAGCAAAGGAAGTACCAACGAGATGCTAGTTTAGTTTCTGGTTCATTTTGACCTTTTATCAAGGATGACAGTTTGCTGATGATACTCCAAATATGAAAACATACCATTAGGGACAAGATAAAAATCATATTCAAGCAAGTGAGAGAATAGCTTCATTTTTGTTTCTATCAAAGTGCTAACATCAGATAGTGACTAATTTCAGTCATGTATTTAGAACTTAGAGCCCACCGTTCTACAGCATCTGTATGTGCAAAGGGACTTTTCTATTCTCATTCAGTTGTCTAACAGGAGCAGGGGGCCGAGCTTAAGTTGTAGAGCACTTGCTTAGCAAGTGCGAGGCCTTAGATCCAATTCCCAACCACAAAAATGAAACAAATGTCTGGTGGTTTATATAACCCCTTGCCTCTTGGGGCCACCAGGAGAAACCATTTCTTCCTGTTTCAGTTACTTTGGGAAGAGTGACTGTAGTGTCCTTATAGGATACAGCTAATGGGTTTCCTAATGCTTTAGTCTTGTTTATATGATCTGCCTGCTCAAAGAACTTTCAGGTCATCTTAATCATGATATTAGAATTAGAATGTCCATGTAAAAGAGTAACTCCAGTTTTTAGGTCATGGAGCTAATAATATTGTACTCTATGATTTAAGAATCATTCTAACAAATATTTCACAACTTCATCTTGAATAGCGATCAGATGGTGAAGAGAAGACATTAATGGGGGATGTGAAAACTAGTCCTCCAAGAACTGCACCAAAAAAACAGTTGCCTTCTATTCCCAAAAATGCTTTGCCTATAACAAAGCCTACATCTCCTGCCCCAGCAGCACAGTCAACAAATGGCACACATGCTTCTTATGGACCCTTCTACCTGGAATACTCTCTTCTTGCAGAATTGTAAGTTCTTGACAGACCATTTGGTCTGTTATGAATGAGCCTTTGAAGGTGAAGAATAAAATTTATTCTGATGAACTCATAAACTAATTTAATCTGAAAGCTCAAAATCATCCACTTCTTACTCTGTTTTGGTGAGCAAGAGAAACTAAGATTTATGGAGAGCCTACAGTACGTCAGGAACTTGGTAACAATTTTGGTTTTTCTTTCTGTGAGGTAGGAGTTAACTTCTTGAAGAAGCTTCTGTAGAGGATAGGCAGTTAGCAGGGTGGTAGTCTTTTCTTTCTTGGATCAGATTCACCAGAAAGATTGGGTTCAATTTTGTTTGCTACCTTTTAAGAGGCATCCCGATAAGACTGAGGAGATGGTCCCAGTAGAGAACAGTTGGGAAGCCAGACTTTAAGGATCAGTTGAAGGAGCTGGTTTGGAGAAGAGAAAACTTGAGGAGTACCTATCAAAGTTGTCTTCATACATTTGAAGGTCTTTGATTAGGAAGGATGTAACTTATTTGGTATGACGCCAAAAGGCAGGGCTTGGCAGTTGATAGGGAGCTAAAGACTTGGATTCCATGTAGGTAAGAACTTGATTAGTTGCAGAAGTTTGCATTTGCACTGAAGTTGTGCCTGTCTGAAGGGGACAAGTTGCTCAGTACCTGTGGAGAACCCTGGTACTGATGACATAGCACTCAGCATACAGAGGGGCTCAAGTAGCACATGATTCAGGCTGCATTTATTTTGATCATTTGTTAAAAGGACAGAAGGTTTGGAGAACCTTTAAAAATTTTTAAATCCTCTGTATGCAGTTATTTTAAAAGCATCTTTGTCCCTTGTGTAGTGTATCTGTTGTAATGGCCACTGTGTCTGAGGCTCCAGTGTCACTGGCTGGTGTGATTTGGTAGCAATGGTCCCTTCAGTTTTATAATGGAGTCCTTGTTTTGGAGGCTGTGCAGTGAGTTGGACAGGCTACCATTGTGATTAAGTTTGCTGTGTGTTAGAACACAAAATTTCCTTTTCTGGCAAACTTCACTGTAGTATATACATCTTCTAGCCATCCTGCTATTGATATACCACCTTTTAGTGACTTAAAAGTGGAATACATAACTTAGAAAATGATTATTAATAAATGTGATGGCAATTAGATAATAAAAACAAAGACAGGTGATGTGTCTGAAAGGCCTAAGTCAACATTGTTCTTTTTAAGGTTGGATCATAGCTCATAGATGCAGTTGTAAGGAACAGAAGAGAATTGCAGTTGGTAGGTCACTAGATCCCAGAAAAAACAGTAAAATCTCCTGTCAGGATACTTGACTTTCCTTGTGTGCACCCACTGTTTCCCACTCTATAGCAAGACCCACAGAATTCAAGTGTCTTAAGTTGGGGGAGTGTCATTTGGGAGCAGAGTATAGTGCATGAGTGCACACTGATGCCTGTCTTCAACACTGAATATTTAAACAGTGCCCTCTGTTGTGGGATCTGATGAGTCGAACTCAAAAGGACAACTAAGTGATGGCCATTCCATGGAGTCTTAATTACCTAAAATTGCATTTTAAAAGTTTTTTTCAAAATTTATTATAATATGCTTCATTTGCTAATATCAGTAGCATGATTTACAGAAGCCCAAAAGGAAAATATTTAATAGTAAAAAGAACTTTTGAATGTGTGTATGTGATCTCTGTCATCTATAGTCACAAAAGTAGTAATTTTACCAATACTCCTATTTACCTCAAATTTAATGTCCTGAATGTACTCTAGGTTGCTTTATTCAGAACTACCTACAACCTGATTTCCAAGATGATGTTCTAGGAAGCTAATTTTGGGAGTAACACTTGAATTTTAATCTGAGGCCCTTTTTGACTCATGAGTTTCTCTGTGGGCTGTAAAGGGAGAAGTGATCAGGTAGATGCTCAGAGTTGTGTCAAGTAAGAGGCTATGATGACTTGGCTTGAATAGTTTGGGAATCAGCTACCCCTTGAGGACTCCTTGATTCACAAAATGATTGTGGATCGTTTGATCTGTATGTCATTGACATTGTACAAGTTAATTATTATACTACTTTTGTTTTAGTACCTTGGTTGTGAAGCAGAAGTTGCCAGGCGTCTATGTGCAGCCATCTTATCGCTCAGCATTAAGTAAGATAAGGATTCACTCTTAACTTACAGCATATAACTTACCGCATATTTGGTTCCTTTGACACTTATTTAGGCCTTACCATGTTTATTTTTTTCCTGCAGTGTGGTTTGGAGTAATATTCATAAGGCATGATAA